TCGTTGTTATCATTTTTTAAATCAAATTCTGCAAGTACTTTTTTACCAAAATTTATTAAAATTTAAAATAATCGTATCTCAAAAACTAATTAAGATATTTTAATGAAATAAGAAGCATTTTGAAGCAAATTTAATCAAGATTTAATGTGCAATAAATAATTTCTTCGATTCGATACATCTCGTTGTTATCATTTTTTAAATCAAACTTTGCAAGTTCTTTTTTACCGAAATTTATTAAAATTTAAAATAATCGTATCTCAAAAACTAATTAAGATATTTTAATGAAATAAGAAGCATTTTGAAGCAAATTTAATCAAGATTTAATGTGTAATAAATAATTGCTTCGATTCTATAAACTTGGTTGTTATGATTTTTTAAATCCATCCCTGTATGTCTAAATTTAAAGTCTTTGTATTTAGACACATTTAAATTTAAAAAATCGTATCTCAAAAACTAATTGAGATATCGTAACGAAATAAGAAGCATTTTGAAGCAAATTTAATGAAGATTTAATGAGCAATAAATAATTTCTTCGATTCCATGTATCTCGTTGTTAAGATTTTTTAAATCAAACGTTGCAAGTTCCTTTTTACCGTAATTCTTTGAAATTTAAATAAATGTATCTCAAAAACTAAATAAGATATCTTAATGAAATAAGAAGCATTTTGAAGCAAATTTAATCAAGATTTAATGTGTAATAAATAATTGCTTCGATTCTATAAACTTGGTTGTTATGATTTTTTAAATCCATCCCTGTATGTCTAAATTTAAAGTCTTTGTATTTAGACACATTTAAATTTAAAAAATCGTATCTCAAAAACTAATTGAGATATCGTAACGAAATAAGAAGCATTTTGAAGCAAATTTAACCAAGATTTAACGTGCAATAAATAATTATTTCGATTCTACAAACGTGGTTGTTACGATTTTTTAAATCAATCTAGGTAAACATAATTTAACAATTCAAATCGATACAAATATGAGCAATTATAAAAGAACGCGACGACGACGATGTGCGATAACAAAGCGCAAAATTTCCTTTACCAATACAACGTACAAATTTGTCTCACCGCGAATTTACATAATAACCACTTCTGTGTCTCTGTCACTCGATATGAATCCCAAATTGGGTATGATTTAAGATCGGGGACAATTCGATTGTAATATTCCATTACGTACCATCATTTCGTTTCAATCCGAGGAGTGTCATAAAAGATTCTTCGTTAAACTCGATTAAAAAAGAAAAAGAAATCAAAAACGTAAAAGTGTATGATGATGTGTAGGGTTGAAAATTGCACGTATTTTACGTAATAACTTGTATGAAATAACCGGATGAAACGGGGATGGAGAAAGAGTGAGCCGTTGGAATTTGGACATCTCAGTTAAAAGTGGAGCTAATTTGACGTCGGGTTAATGTAATTAGCGTCGTGACGGGCTCAAGGGGGTAACGGGGTTGTGGAGGAGGGGCTTTGCCCTACTGAGATGTATTAATTAAAATCTCATGTTAAATTCAGCGAAATTGTATATTTAATCCCATAATCTGCCGCGAATTAAAACCGGCGCAAACATCGTCTATTTCGAGTCGGTGAATTATTTAGGGCGGCGCTGAGCGTCCCGACGCTCTTTCCCTCTCTCTCTCCACGCCTACCCTTATCGATTTAATATTAAAATCGGTTTAGGCCGCTCTTCGAAATTTTGGCCGACGACTGGTGGTTGTTGTTATTGTTGGTACAACCATATAAATATTTTTTCCGGATTCCCCGTTCGATTTTAATCTATATTAAAAACCGTTTCATATTTAATTTTCAATTATTTTAAAAACACGGTTACCCCGCGGTAATTCCCCCGTTAATAATTTACGAGCGAAGCGGGGCAAAGCTAAACGGGGGGTTGTGGTCGGGATTTTTATTATAGATTTCAATTTCCGGTGGCGCCCCCGCGAAAAAGTATCCGTACCGATTCCCGGTGGGTTCGCGTTGAAATTTTGAACGGAGATTTGCAATTTTTCAATTTACCACCAAAAACATTCGGAAAACATCGGTGCTTTTCTAAAAAGTGATGAATAAACAAAACGCGCCGCCAGTTGCTTCCGGTTACCGTAAATAAATCGACCGATATTGTAAATGAACAAAAAAATTCTCCATCCAAGCTTCGTTGATGCACATTATTTTTTAATGGACTCTTTTTAATAAATATTTTTTAATTTGTTTGGAATTATAAAATTGTTGATTTACACAAAAACGTTAAATCAAATTGATAATGTTAATAAGATTATCTAAAATTTGTATCATTTTTTAATAAATTATATTTCTAACCTAAGTTACGAATCATAACTTTGACATAAAGTTAATTCCCTGTGAATAGTATGGTAACAATTTTTAAATTTTTGTTCTAATCAAAAATTTTTTTATACAATATTTGTTCAAAATCTCATATAAAATCGATCTTTTTAACACAATTTTTTAATATCTCCATCAGGTGGCGCTCCACCCTGATATAAAAAACAACATTTTAGAGGTTATCTCAATAATTATTATTTTTATCAAAAAATTTCTTTATTCAACCTTATCAAGAATCAAATAAGCAATAACTTTCATTAATAATATTTTTTTTAATTTCCCCCAGGAGGCGCTGTAAATTCATTTATTTAATTTCCCTGAGAATAGTACGGTGAAAATTGACGTTTTATGGGATAACGAAGTGTTTTCACATTATAATTCAAAATTATATATAAAATTGCAATGTAATTACTAAAAAAACTTTCATACCATGAAAACCGTTGGTAATACAACTTTTAACAAAGAGCCCTTTTCTACGTCAACGAGGAATTCGAAAATGTACATAAAATTATTATTTAATTGTTGTAGTATATGATACAGTTGCAAAACGATGATATCTTCAATTGTGGCGAAATCTATTGAGATTTAAAACAATCGTATCTCAAAAACTAAATAAGATATCGTAATAAAATAAGAAGCACTTTGAAGTAATTTTAATCAAGATTTAGTGTGCAATAAATAATTACTTCGATTCTATAAACTTGGTTGTTATGATATTTTAAATCCAACCCTGCATGTCTAAATTTTAAAGTCTGTATTTAGACACATATAAACATTTTTAAAAATTTTCAAAAATTAATTAAGATAGCGTAATGAGATAAGAAGCACTTTGAAGCAAATTTAATCAAGATTTAATGTGCAATAAATTATTTCTTCGATTCTATAAATTTGGTTATTACGATGTTTTAAATCCATCCCTTTATATTTAGACATATTTAAATTTAAACAACCGTATCTCAAAAACGGATTGAGATATCATAATGAGATAAGAAGCGTTTTAAAAGAAATTTAATCAAGATTTAATGTGCAATAAATAATTTCTTCGACTCTATAAACTTGGTTGTTATAATGTTTTAGATCCATCTCTGCATGCGTAAATTTTAAAGTCTTTGTATTTAGACATATTTAAATTTAAAAAATGGTATCTCAAAAACTAATTGAGATATCGCAATGAATTAAGAAGCATTTTGAAGCAAATTTAACCTAGATTTAATGTGCAATAAATAATTTTTCCGATTCCATAGATCTCGTTGTTATCATTTTTTAAATCAAACTTTGCAAATTCTATTTTACCGAAATTTATTAAAATTTAAAATAATCGTATCTCAAAAACTAAATAGGATATCTCAATAAAATAAAAAACATTTTGAAGCAAATTTAATCAAGATTTAGTGTGCAATAAATAATTACTTCGATTCTATAAACTTGGTTGTTATGATGTTTTAAATCCATCTATGTATGTGCAAATTTTAAAGTCTTAGTATTTAGACACATTTAAATTTAAAAAATTGTATCTCAAAAATTAATTAAGATAGCGTAATGCGATAAGAAGCATTTTGAAGCAAATTTAATCAAGATTTAATGTGCAATAAATTATTTCTTCGATTCTATAAATTTGGTTATTACGATGTTTTAAATCCATCCCTTTATATTTAGACATATTTAAATTTAAACAATCGTATCTCAAAAACGGATTGAGATATTATAATGAGATAAGAAGCGTTTTAAAGGAAATTTAATCAAGATTCAATGTGCAATAAATAATTTCTTCGATTCTATAAACTTGGTTGTTATAATGTTTTAGATCCATCTCTGCATGCGTAAATTTTAAAGTCTTTGTATTTAGACACATTTAAATTTAAAAAATGGTATCTCAAAAACTAATTGAGATATCGCAATGAATTACGAAGCATTTTGAAGCAAATTTAACCTAGATTTAATGTGCAATAAATAATTTTTCCGATTCCATAGATCCCGTTGTTATCATTTTTTAAATCAAACTATGCAAATTCTATTTTACCGAAATTTATTAAAATTTAAAATAATCGTATCTCAAAAACTAAATAAGATATCTCAATAAAATAAGAAGCATTTTGAAGCAAATTTAATCAAGATTTAATGTGCAATAAATAATTTCTTCGCTTCCATGTATTTCGTTATTAAGATTTTTTAAATCAAACGTTGCAAGTTCCTTTTTACCGTAATTCTTTGAAATTTAAATAAATGTATCTCAAAAACTAAATAAGATATCTCAATGAAATAAGAAGTATTTTGAAGCAAATTTAATCAAGACTTAGTGTGCAATAAATAATTCCTTCGATTCTATAAACTTGGTGGTTATGATTTTTTAAATCCATCCCTGTATGTCTAAATTTAAAGTCTTTGTATTGAGACACATTTATATTTAAAAAATCGTATCACAAAAACTAAATAAGATATCGTAATGAAATAAGAAGCATTTTAAAGCAAATTTAATCAAGATTTAATGTGCAATGAATAATTTCTTCGATTCCATACATCTCTCATAAAGTGTTAATATCTCTCATAACACATCTTTACACGTCTTTACAACATTTAAATTTAAAAAATCATATCTCAAGAACGAATTGAGAGAAATTCTTTTTTTTTCGATAATAATTTTTAGTATTTATATCATTTCAGATACAAGCTACTCATATCATCCGGCAATTCACGATGATACCTTCGTTAGAAGAAAACAGCGAAGAAATAGGACGACCTTTACGTTACAACAGGTTTGTATCATCTAAATTTTCTAGGCGAATCAAAATTTTATTGTTATTTACGTTTAGTTGGAAGAATTAGAGAGTGCATTTGCTCAAACCCATTACCCAGACGTGTTCACCCGAGAGGATTTAGCGATGAAAATCAATCTAACGGAAGCAAGGGTGCAGGTAAGTGTTTAACAACACCTTATTATTCAAAAATAAACTCTGTAACATTCGACGTCGAACAAAAGGGAATAAAACTCCTTTATGAATGCGCGAATGGGTGTAAAGGGTGAAAGGGTTAAGTTTATTGTTTATTAAAGCCCCGTTTAATAACCTGTTTGTTTTAAAATTGTTTCCAAACAAATTCGCGTTGAGTGTCACTTAAAAAATTGTGTTCTCTTCGCCCACCCCCCTCAACGGAGCGTATAAATATCAATGGCTCTTGAAATCTTGTAGTAGTGAAGTTGTCTGCAAACCAAACCGCCCCAAAAGAGGGGGACAACACAATTCAACGCTGCACCACTCACTTTACAATTTGAGCCCTATTGTTTCTTCTAATTGGAGGCGTGCTCGTATTGTTTTTTTTTTTTTTAATTTTTCGAATACAATCGAATTAATAATAATAGGTTTAGATTAATCAATTTTAATGAAATAAGGGTAAAAAAGAAATTCGTGAGAAAAGCACTAAATTTGGAAATGTGTTAATTTAAAAAATCGTATCTCAAAAACTAATTGAGATATCGTAACGAAATAAGAAGCATTTTGAAGCAAATTTAATCAAAATTTAATGTGCAATAAATAATTACTTCGATTCTATAAACTTGGTTGTTATCATTTTTTAAATCAACCTTTGCAAGTTTTTTTTACCGGAGTTTATTGAAATTTAAAATAATCGTATCTCAAAAACTAAATAAGATATCACAATGAAATAAGAAGCATTTTAAAGCAAATTTAATCAAGATTTAATGTGCAATAAATAATTTCTTCGATTCTATAAACTTAGTTATAATGAATTTTTAAATCAATGTCTGCATGTTTCAATTTTAAAGTCTTTGTATTTAGACATTTAAATTTAAAAAAATCGTATCTCAAAAACTAATTGAGATATCGTAACGAAATAAGAAGCATTTTGAAGCAAATTTAATCAAGATTTAATGTGTAATAAATAATTGCTTCGATTCCATACATCTCGTTGTTATCATTTTTTTAATCAAACTTTGCAAGTACATTTTACCGAAATTGATTAAAATTTAAAATAATCGTATCTCAAAAACTAATTAAGATATCTCAATAAAATAAGAAGCATTTTGAAGCAAATTTAATCAAGATTTAATGTGCAATAAATAATTTCTTCGATTATATAAACTTGGTTGTTATGATTTTTTAAATCCATCGCTGTATGTCTAAATTTAAAGTCTTCGTATTTAGACACATTTAAATTTAAAAAATCGTATCTCAAAAACTAATTGAGATATCGTAACGAAATAAGAAGCATTTTGAAGCAAATTTAGCCATGATTTAATGTGCAATAAATAATTTCTTTGAATCCATACATCTCGTTGTTATCATTTTTTAAATCAAACTTTGCAAGTTCTTTTTTACCGAAATTTATTAGAATTTAAAATAATCGTATCTCAAAAACTAATTAAGATATTTTAATGAAATAAGAGGCATTTTGAAGCAAATTTAATCAAGATTTAATGTGTAATAAATAATTGCTTCGATTCTATAAACTAGGTTGTTATGATTTTTTAAATCCATCCCTGTATGTCTAAATTTAAAGTCTTTGTATTTAGACACATTTAAATTTAATAAATCGTATCTCAAAAACTAATTGAGATATCGTAACAAAATAAGAAGCATTTTGAAGCAAATTTAATCAAGATTTAATGTGCAATAAATAATTTCTTCGATTCTATAAACTTGGTTGTTATGATCTTTAATAATAATAGACTTAGATTAAACAAGAAGAATAGAAAAAGGATTCGTGTGAAAAGCATTAAATTTGGGATAATGATGGTTGGTTAATTTTTGGGGGGATAGTAATGGGGTTGTGTGTGTGTCGAATCGAAAGCATTACAATGGAGGCAAACACGTAGAGGAGCCACAAATTGATTGGCGACCTCGCCCCCTTTGCGTTGGAGAGAGAGTGAGACCGGGTCGTGTTTGCTTAAACAGTTGGTTAACATTGTTGAATTTCACGCGCAGCTAAACCGATGATTCTGCCTCGATTGCTGTTTGATCATGTGCGGAATCGGCAAACTCTCCAACCCTATTCGTGTGTTGACCCAGGTTTCATTTCAAACCAAACATAAAACAGATTTCCTCCATTATCATCCAATAAAATTATTTTTGAAAAAATAAAAGAAATTTATAAATAAAGCACAACGCAAAGATTACCCCCATAAATATAACCACTGTTTCAACCCTTAAATAAACGATTTGTGGCTAACAGGTTCCCTATACATATATTTGAGGGTAGGTTGCGATTGAGGATTAGCCTCGACGAGGCAAGTACGAGTACATCTGGTCCCTTCACGACTTCCAATAGCCCCTCGGGTTGTTACATATGTTACTTTTTGTTTGGAGAGTGTTGGAGTGGGTTTACGAACGGCATAAAGGGGATGAGTGTGTAAATATTATTTTTATGGGTAATAATGACGAGGAAATCGCTTAAAAAGAATACAAAAGGAAGAAAATAAGAACGAGGGGAGCCCTCCAAATAAGAATGAAAAGGGAATAAAGAAAAATCGAACGGTTAAACGAAATTATCGGCGGCTCTCCTTATTTCCCGCAAGTCCCTTTACTGTCAAACGTCAATTACGTCATTGGAAATTGGAAATTCGACACCGCAATTCCGAGAATAGGTCCGAATTTAACCTCTGAGGATGATACGAAAGACGGCGCGTTATAAAACTGGGTCCCCGCGGACCTCAGCGACGGTCGCGGAGACGTCCGGTGTCATATTACGAATTTTTATATTTTTGTGGCCACCCTCTCGTCCACTTTACCTCAACGGACCATTTCCAAGACTGGACACTTTTTACACAACACTACCTAGCAGTGTATCTGTTTCCGCGTGTACATTTTCAAGTTATATCTCATTGTTAAAGTGTTTCGTCCAAATCAATTTGAAATTAGATGAAATTAGCAAGCCGAGGTGATTTTAGATCGATTAGATTTTTGATTCCCTTTAATTTGATACCAAACACGACGTATTTCAAATAAAAATTACGAAAATTATTATTTTTATTACCTTTTTACGTCAATTTATTATTATTATTACCATCGTCGGTATAAATAAATATGAATTCGAATTTCTTTTAATTTCATACCAAATTTTGTGCAATTCTAATAAAAAAATTTGAACTTCAAAAAAAAAAAAAATAATAGTAATCCGCCATTTTTGATAATAACTCCAAAGAAACAACGAAAATCTTGAAGGATAAATAAGATAAGAATATCGAGTTTGGACTCTTTGTACAGGAAATTAATTTTTACGTCGTTTAGAATCAATTTTAAAATCTACCTTTTTAGTTTGAACTTTGTGAAAGTGACGTTATAGAAAAAAAATTAATTTCTCCGAGACGGCTAGAATTTAAGACATGAAACTTTTAGAGGTTATAAAGGAAGGTTTGAGGTTAGGTTGTACCAAATTTTAAGTTTCCAACGTGAACAATTAATTTTATAAAAATTTTTAAAATCTCTTATTTCATTTTGACGTTTCTTGTCATTGTTGTAAAAGAAAAAAATATTTTCTCCGAAACGGCTAGAATTGAAGAAATGAAACTTTTAGAGGTTATAAAGGAAGGTTTGAGGTTAGGTTATACCAAATTTCAAGTTTCCCGGACAAAAAATTTTTAAAATCTCCTATTTCATTTTGACGTTTCTTGTCATTGTTGTAAAAGAAAAAATTATTTTCTCCGAAACGGCTAGAATTGAAGAAATTAAACTTTTAGAGGTTATAAAGGAAGGTTTGAGGTTAGGTTGTACCAAATTTTAAGTTTCCAACGTGAACAATTAATTCTATACAAATTTTTAAAACCTCCTATTTCATTTTGACGTTTTTTGTCATTGTTGTAAAAGAAAAATTATTTTCTCCGAAACGGCAAGAATTGAAAAAATGAAACTTTTAGAGGTTATAAAGGAAGGTTTGAAGTTAGGTTATACCAAATTTCAAGTTTCCCGGACAAACAACTAATTTTATAAAAAACTTTAAAATCTCCTATTTCATTTTGACGTTTTTGTCATTGTTGTAAAAGAAAAAATTATTTTCTCCGAAATGGCTAGAATTGAAAAAATGAAACTTTTAGAGGTTATAAAGGAAGGTTTGAGGTTAGGTTATACCAAATTTCAAGTTTCCAGGAGCAACAATTAATTTTATAAAAATTTTTAAGATCTCCTATTTCATTTTGACGTTTTTTGTCATTGTTGTAAAAGAAAAAATTATTTTCTCTGAAACGGCTAGAATTGAAGAAATGAAACTTTTAGAGGTTATAAAGGAAGGTTTGAGGTTAGGTTATACCAAATTTCAAGTTTCCCGGACAAACAATTAATTTTATAAAAATTTTTAAAATCTCCTATTTCATTTTGACGTTTCTTGTCATTGTTGTAAAAGAAAAAATTATTTTCTCCGAAATGGCTACAATTGAAAAAATGAAACTTTTAGAGGTTATAAAGGAAGGTTTGAGGTTAGGTTATACCAAGTTTCAAGTTTCCCGGACAAACAATTAATTTTATAAACATTTTTAAAATCTCCTATTTCATTTTGACGTTTTTTGTCATTGTTGTAAAAAAAAAAAATTATTTTCTCTGAAACGGCTAGAATTGAAGAAATGAAACTTTTAGAGGTTATAAAGGAAGGTTTGAGGTTAGGTTGTACCAAATTTTAAATTTCCAACGTGAACAATTAATTTTATAAAAATTTTTAAAATCTCCTATTTCATTTTGACGTTTTTTGTCATTGTTGTAAAAGAAAAAATTATTTTCTCTGAAACGGCTAGAATTGAAGAAATGAAACTTTTAGAGGTTATAAAGGAAGGTTTGAGGTTAGGTTATACCAAATTTGAAGTTGCCAGGGCCTAAAATTAATTTTATAAAAATTTTTAAAATCTCCTATTTCATTTGACGTCTCTGTTCAGTGTTATAAAAGAAAAATATTATTTTCTCCGAAATGCCTAGAATTTAAGATATGAAACTTTTAGAGGTTATAAATTAAGGTTTGAGGTTAGGTTATACCAAATTTTAAGTTTCCAAGATGGATAAATTCTGATTAAGAATACTTAATATCTCAACTTTCTAAAAACGTAGTCAAAAAATCAATTATCTATTTTAAATAAAAAAAATCTTTTTAAGTATACATAGAAAGTTTCATTACACATTTGACACAGTTTGCGAAAGATGGCAGTCCTCATAGTCCGCTAATTACTGCCTCAGGTGATATGGAAGGTGTGTATTAGATTGAGTTGGCAATTAGGGCTCGGTAACGAGGCACGGCATTGCAATTAGGGCCGTAGCGCCCTCGCGCCGTTGTCGAGGGCCCGTGCTTTGTGATGTCCATCCCTCGGGCTTCTCCACTTCCGACCGTGTGTCCACGAATCGTCAGCGAGAGACGCCATTGTCCCTGTTAATAAGGACAACAACAATCTAACAATGCAAGATTATTTTCAAAAACAAATTATTTCGAAATCTAAATTTTGAGTTAAAAATCTAGGCACCGTTCCCATCAGATTTATAACATCATATAACATCAATCAACGTCAACCATATCACGCATTTTATTCCTTTCTCCATCCGTACAACAAAATTAACAAGTACCATTGCAATAAAAAACTATTTAATTGGTTAAAATGCCTTTAGTCAAATACGTGATGAACAAGGCAAGTAAAGGATCACGTGTAATAAAATTACCGAGGGTTTACTTCGATATTAACGCTGATGGTAAAAATTTAGGACGAATAGTTTTCGAGCTTCGATCGGACGTTACGCCAAAAACGGCCGAAAATTTTCGTGCTTTGTGTACCGGAGAGAAAGGGTTCGGATACCAAGGTTCAAAATTTCATCGGGTCATTCCAAATTTTATGTGTCAAGGGGGCGATATCACTCATTTCGATGGTACCGGCGGCAGAAGTATTTATGGCAAACATTTCGTCGATGAAAATTTCTATTTAAAACACGCTGGCGAAGGAACTTTATCTATGGCAAATGCTGGACCACACACCAACAGCTCGCAATTTTTTATCACCATCGCCGCAACTAATTGGTTAGATAATAAACATGTTGTTTTTGGAAAAGTCATCGACGGACTGCACGTGCTTAATAGAATTGAAAAATTTGGATTATCTAACGGCATACCATCAAAACAAATCATTATTGCTAAATGTGGCCAAATACAATAGCGTTTCTAAGTCGTATATTCGAAAATTTACGTTATTATATTTAATATAAAATGTGCAAGATAAAGAATTGTTTCTTATACATTTAATTTAAAGCTTAAATGTATCTGCAAACACTTTATGGGAACTAGAGTGTTGTAGACACATGGAAGTTATTGTGTTACTGTTAAAAGCGCAATACATCAAATGATATTAACAAGTTGATATAACAAGTTAGCTAACTGGGAAAATAAATTAATAGGCTGTAAAATGCCAAATGTGAATCTTTTAATGTAATATCTCCTGCTGCCAAAAACTTGGCAGACTTTAAAGATAAAATAATGCATTAAATCTTTACACCGCAAAATAGAAGATTCAAGATGTAATGATGTTACTAACACGTTGGGTGGTTTTAGAAGGCAGAATGGAAGTCTGATTGCACAATAGCCCATGCTGACGACAAATTGGGATGCTCTAGAATACTGAAGGATGCCTCAAGATGTATCAATTGATAAACATATCCTTTAAATGGATTTAAATAATTTCCTACGGGGTAAAAATTATTATAAAAAAGATACTTTAAGTTTTAATAAAATAGATACGATTCTTTAAAGTTTGACATTTTTAAGGATACGTTCTAAAATGACCAATTTTTAGGATTTGTTACAAAAAAAAATCTAAAAACTATTTGTATGGTCTTAAAGAGATACTTTAAGTTTTAATTTGATACCCAGATCGTTTGTTAATTCTAATAATTAAAGTATATATGGTTGTTTAAAGTTTAATATATTTAAGGATACGTTCCAAAATAACCAAGTTTTAGGATTTGCTTAAAAAATTCTTTTCTCCTAAGTTTTATGGATCTACTCAAAACTATTTAAAAATCTTCTGAAAAAAGATACTTTAAGCTTTCATTTGAGTTAATTCCAACAAATAAAGTAGACACGATTCTTTAAAGTTTGATATTTATAAGAGTACGTTCTAAAATAACCTATTTTTAGGGTTTGTTTAAAAAATTATTTTCTCCTAAATTTTATTGATCTACTCATAATTCTTTATATGGTATTAAAAAAAATACTTTAGACTTTAATTCGATACACAGATTGTGGGTTAATTCCAATAAATAAAGTAGATACGATTCGTTAAAGTTTGACATTTTTAAGAGTACGTTCTAAAACGACCAATTTTTAGGGTTTGTTTAAAACATTCTTTTCTCCTAAATCTTATGGGTCTACTTATAACTCTTTATATGGTATTAAAAAAGATACTTTAGACTTTAATTCGACACACAGATTGTGGGTTAATTCTAATAAATAAAGTAGATACGATTCGTTAAAGTTTGACATTTTTAAGGATGCGTTCTAAAATGACCAATTTCAAGGATTTATTAAAAAAAAATTCTAAGAACTATTTGTATGGTCTTAAAAAGGATACTTTAAACTTTAATTTGACATATAGATCGTTTGTTAATTCTAATAAATAAAGTAGATATGATTCTTTATAATTTGATACTTTAAGAGTATGTTCTAAAATGACTAAAAATAGGGTTTGTTTAAAAAATTCTTATCTCTTGAATTTTATGGATGTACTTGTAACTATTTATGTGATCTTAAAAAGCATACTTTAAGCTTTAATTTGACATACAGATCGATTGTTAATTCCAATAAATAAAGTAGATACGATTCTTTAAAGTTTGACATTTTTAAGGATACGTTCTAAAATAACCAAGTTTTAAAATATGCTTAAAAAATTCTTTTCTTCAAAATTTTATGGATCTACTTAAAACTATTTATATGATTTTAAAAAAGATACTTTAAGCTTTAATTCGACACACAGATTGTGGGTTAATTCCAATAAATAAAGTAGATACGATTCTTTAAAGTTTGACATTTTTAAGGATACGTTCTAAAATAACCAAGTTTTAAAATTTGCTTAAAAAATTCTTTTCTTCAAAATTTTATGGATCTACTTAAAACTATTTATATGATTTTAAAAAAGATACTTTAAGCTTTAATTCGACACACAGATTGTGGGTTAATTCCAATAAATAAAGTAGATGCGATTCTTTAAAGTTTTACATTTTTAAGGATGCGTTCTAAACTGACCAATTTCTAGGATTTGTTAAGAAAAAATTTTAAAAACTTTATATGGTCTTAAAAAAGATACTTTAAACTTTAATTTGACACATAGATCGTTTGTTAATTCTAACAAATAAAGTAGATATGATTCTTTAAAGTTTGACATTTTTAAGAAAACGTTCTAAAATGATCTAGTTTTAGGGTTTGTTTAAAAAATCCTTTTCTCCTAAATTTTATGGATCTAATCAAAACTATTTATATGGTCTTAAAAAAGATACCTTAAACTTTAATTTGAGATACAAACCGTTAGTTAATTCCAACAAATAAAGTAGATACGATTCTTTAAATTTTGACATTTTTAAGGATACGTTCTAAAATGACCAATTTCTAGGATTAATTAAAAAAAAAATTCTAAGAACTATTTGTATGGTCTTAAAAAGGATACTTTAAGCTTTAATTTTAAATCCAGATCGTTTGGTAAATCCAATAAGTAAAGTAGATATGATTCTTTAAAGTTTGACATTTTAAGAGTATGTTCTAAAATGACTAAAAATAGAGTTTGTTTAAAAAATTCTTATCTCTTGAATTTTATGGATTTACTTATAACTATTTATGTGATCTTAAAAAANTAGATGCGATTCTTTAAAGTTTTACATTTTTAAGGATGCGTTCTAAACTGACCAATTTCTAGGATTTGTTAAGAAAAAATTTTAAAAACTTTATATGGTCTTAAAAAAGATACTTTAAACTTTAATTTGACACATAGATCGTTTGTTAATTCTAACAAATAAAGTAGATATGATTCTTTAAAGTTTGACATTTTTAAGAAAACGTTCTAAAATGATCTAGTTTTAGGGTTTGTTTAAAAAATCCTTTTCTCCTAAATTTTATGGATCTAATCAAAACTATTTATATGGTCTTAAAAAAGATACCTTAAACTTTAATTTGAGATACAAACCGTTAGTTAATTCCAATAAATAAAGTAGATACGATTCTTTAAATTTTGACATTTTTAAGGATACGTTCTAAACTGACCAATTTCTAGGATTTGTTAAAAAAAATTTTAAAAACTTTGTATGGTCTTAAAAAAGATACTTTAAACTTTAATTTGACACATAGATTGTTTGGTAAATCCAATAAGTAAAGTAGATATGATTCTTTAAAGTTTGACATTTTAAGAGTATGTTCTAAAATGACTAAAAATAGGGTTTGTTTAAAAAATTCTTATCTCTTGAATTTTATGGATTTACTTATAACTATTTATGTGATCTTAAAAAAGAAACTTTAAGCTTTAATTTGACACACAGATCGATTGTTAATTCCAACAAATAAAGTAGATACGATTCTTTAAATTTTGACATTTTTAAGGATACGTTCTAAAATGACCAATTTGTAGGATTTATTAAAAAAAAATTCTAAGAAGTATTTGTATGGTCTTAAAAAGGATATTTTAAGCTTTAATTTTAAATCCAGATCGTTTGGTAATTCCAATAAGTAAAGTAAATATGATTCTTTAAAGTTTGACATTTTAAGAGTATGTTCTAAAATGACTAAAAATAGGGTTTGTTTAAAAAATTCTTATCTCTTGAATTTTATGGATTTACTTATAACTATTTATGTGATTTTAAAAAAGATACTTTAAGCTTTAATTCGATACACAGATTGTGGGTTAATTCCAATAAATAAAGTAGATACGGTTCTTTAAAGTTTGACATTTTTAAGGATACGTTCTAAACTGACCAATTTCTAGGATTTGTTAAAAAAAATTTTAAAAACTTTGTATGGTCTTAAAAAAGATACTTTAAACTTTAATTTGACACATAGATTGTTTGTTAATTCTAACAAATAAAGTAGATATGATTCTTTAAAATTTGATACTTTAAGAGTATGTTCTAAAATGACTAAAAATAGGGTTTGTTTAAAAAATTCTTATCTTTAAATTTTATGGATTTACTTATAACTATTTATGTGATCTTAAAAAAGAAACTTTAAGCTTTAATTTGACACACAGATCGATTATTAATTCCAATAAATAAAGTAGATACGATTCTTTAAAGTTGGATACGTTCTAAAAAACCAAGTTTTAAGATTTGCTTAAAAAAATTCTTTTCTCCTAAATTTTATGGATCTATTCATAATTCTTTATATGGTATTAAAAAAGACACTTTAAACTTTAATTTGACACATAGATCGTGTATTAATTCCAATAAATAGAGTAGATACCATTCTTTAAATTTTGACATTTTTAAGAGTACGTTCTAAAATGAGCAAATTTTTAGGGTTTGTTAAAAAATTTCTTTTCTCTTGAGCTTTATAGATCTATGTAAAGATGTAAGCATTAATTTGACACACAAATCGTTAGTTAATTCTAACAATTAAAATAGATACGATTCTTTAAAGTTTGACATTTTTAAGAAAACGTTCTAAAATGACCTAGTTTTAGGGTTTGTTTAAAAAATTCTTTTCTCTTAAATTTTATGGATCTAATCAAAACTATTTATATGGTCTTAAAAAAGATACCTTAAACTTTAATTTGAGATACAGACCGTTAGTTAATTCCAACAAATAAAGTAGATACGGTTCTTTAAATTTTGACATTTTTAAGGATACGTTCTAAAATCACCAATTTTTAGGATTTATTAAAAAAAAATTCTAAGAAGTATTTGTATGGTCTTAAAAAGGATATTTTAAGCTTTAATTTTAAATCCAGATCGTTTGGTAATTCCAATAAGTAAAGTAAATATGATTCTTTAAAGTTTGACATTTTAAGAGTATGTTCTAAAATGACTAAAAATAGGGTTTGTTTAAAAAATTCTTATCTCTTGAATTTTATGGATGTACTGGTAACTATTTATGTGATCTTAAAAAGCATACTTTAAGCTTTAATTTGACATACAGATCGATTGTTAATTCCAATAAATAAAGTAGATATGATTCTTTAAAGTTTGACATTTTTAAGGATACGTTCTAAAATAACCAAGTTTTAAAATTTGCTTAAAAAATTCTTTTCTTCAAAATTTTATGGATCTACTTAAAACTATTTATATGATTTTAAAAAAGATACTTTAAGCTTTAATTCGACACACAGATTGTGGGTTAATTCCAATAAATAAAGTAGATACGATTCTTTAAAGTTTGACATTTTTAAGGATACGTTCTAAACTGACCAATTTCTAGGATTTGTTAAAAAAAATTTTAAAAACTTTGTATGGTCTTAAAAAAGATACTTTAAACTTTAATTTGACACATAGATTGTTTGTTAATTCTAACAAATAAAGTAGATATGATTCTTTAAAATTTGATACTTTAAGAGTATGTTCTAAAATGACTAAAAATAGGGTTTGTTTAAAAAATTCTTATCTTTAAATTTTATGGATTTACTTATAACTATTTATGTGATCTTAAAAAAGAAACTTTAAGCTTTAATTTGACACACAGATCGATTATTAATTCCAATAAATAAAGTAGATACGATTCTTTAAAGTTGGATACGTTCTAAAAAAACCAAGCTTTAAGATTTGCTTAAAAAAATTCTTTTCTCCTAAATTTTATGGATCTATTCGTAATTCTTTATATGGTATTAAAAAAGACACTTTAAACTTTAATTTGACACATAGATCGTGTATTAATTCCAATAAATAGAGTAGATATCATTCTTTAAATTTTGACATTTTTAAGAGTACGTTCTAAAATGAGCAACTTTTTAGGGTTTGTTAAAAAATTTCTTTTCTCTTGAACTTTATGGATCTATGTAAAAGAGATACTTTAAGCAATAATTTGACACACAGGTCGTTGGTTAATTCTAAGAAATAAAACAGATACGATTCTTTAAAGTTTGAAATTTTTAAGAAAACGTTCTAAAATGACCTAGTTTTAGGGATTGTTTAAAAAATTCTTTTCTCTTAAATTTTATGGATCTATTCATAACTTTTTATATGGTCTCAAAAAAGATACTTTAGGCTTTAATTTGATATATAAATCCTAAAAATAAGACTGATTTGATATTTTTGGTTACAACAAAATCTTGAGATATCTTCAATACATTTTTTCTCGAAACTTTTTTAACCAAATCACATTATATTTATGGTTCATTCTAAAATATGATTCTCTAGCTTTAATTTGATATATAACTCATGATTGTACTCCTAAAAATGAATGAATGAATAATAAATGATGATAGACACAACAAGAGTATCATTTGAGTATCATTGAAACGTCGTTTTGTGTTTAGAATCGATGAAAATGAATAAAGCACGTAGAAATCCCGTTTGATCTGAACCTGTGTCGACGTGTAACTTTGGGAGGAGGGAATTTGCCATCCCCCCATTCGCCAACATGCTTTGGGGGAATTTCTAGGGGGTTAGAGAGTGGTGCAGAAAACGTTATGAGGGCGGAATTTCGGTTTAACGGACCCTTAAAAGATTCAGGCGGCATAAAATTCATTAAGCCGAGCCGCTTAACTTGGCAACTGCGCGCGTTCGCGTCTCTTAATAACACTTTTAAGGCCCGAATCCACTTTGGACCCGCTCCACGCTCTTCATTGAATTTGTTTTAAACACGTACGTCGTCGGTACCGAAATTGGCTAACTTGAGTATTTTGAAAGCCGGCGATGTTTTAAACCTTAAAATGTTTCCAAAGGAAATTTTAATTTTAATCCAATTTGTTTTCCAAATCAAAAACTTAATTATCTAATTTACTTTCTTTCTTTGAGTTATTTCCTTTTATCAAAATAATCATGAAAAAGCAAATACGTATTAGTGTAAAATTAAATAGATCCGTAATCGGCTTCGGCGGTGGCCGAAAACAAACTTTTCCACTCAGAGTCGGGAGGCAAATTCGATTAAAAACGCGATTAAAATTAAACAGCAAAGCAGATCGCCGATTGAAATGCAAATTGCGGCCCCTTTAGTATTTCCGGACAAACTCGATTAAGTCGGGGAGCCCCCGGAATCGAGTTAGAACGATCCGGAGGGCCTTCGATGGTCGCCCAATTACAATTAAGGTATCGGGTTACACGACGAGAAGAATCATCCTTTATTTCTCATGTCAATTTCGTCTAACACAATTTATGACCGTTTTCTATTTCTATTCGTTATTAGGTTTGGTTCCAAAATAGGAGAGCTAAGTGGAGGAAAGCTGAGCGGTTAAAAGAGGAGCAAAGAAAACGCGAAGGCCAAGATGTTAAGAAAGATGAGGAAGCTAAAGATGAGAAATTATCTCAAAGCGAAGAAATTAACCCTGATGTGTTATCTGAGGATATCGCGCCGGATGAAGATAATGGGAGGGAATGCTCAAGTAGAAGCAGTGGAAGAGAATCTCCCGAGCCTACAAGAAGTGCTGCGGAAGTCGTTACTTCAAGTCCGGCTTCTCCTAACAGCCCGACACCATCGGCTTCTTCTGAACCACCCAGACCAGTCCCACCACCGTTTCCTCATATATTCCCATTCGGCGATGGGTGAGTTTACTTTTAAGCTTAAGTGGTGTATAAATTTATGAAATTATTAACTATCAGGCGGGTTTACCAGGCTAATTCGTAACTTAATTAGTCTTAACGATTATTAAACGACGAAAATCCTGGAAGAGCGGGTAACAATGACGTCAGAGTCGAGCGCCCTAATTGTCGCTCGTCCAATTAACAGCGTCACGAAAGCAGAGTTAAATGGTTTAGAGTCGTTTCGTTTTAAAACAATAAAGGGCACATGTTCGCAATAAATTTAATTTTGTGTCGTAGAACAATACGTTACGGTTTGATGAAAAAATTGTCTGGAAAAAATCTTGAATAAACTTCAAAAAATCTCCCTTAGGGATTTAAGGGATCGTTTATGTCTTAAATTGAAGCCTAAAGATTCTATTTTATGATAATCCATAAGATATATGGGGTTTGATGATAAAAATTTCTAGAAAAAAATTGAAATAAAAAATTGACAAATTAGGTTATTTTTGAGTGTGTTAAAAGCAACTAAAACTTTAAAAAATCATATCAACTTTATTTTATGGAGTAAAGTAATGATTTATATCTTAAATTTAAGCTGAAATGTTCTATTTTATGATGGGATTAAAACATTGATGGTTTGATGAGAAATTTGTCTGGAAAAAAATCTTGAATAAAAAAATGCAAACTTAGGTTATTTTGGGATGTGTCAAAAAAGAGGAAATTTCAAAAAATCACCCTGACTTTCCCTTTGGGATTTAAGGGATCGTTTATGTCTTAAATTGAAGCTTAAAGATTCTATTTTATGATAATCCATAAAATATATGGGGTTTGATGATAAAAATTTCTAGAAAAAAATTGAAATAAAAAATTAACAAATTAGGTTATTTTTGAGAGTGTTAAAAGCAGCTAAAACTTTAAAAAATCATATCAACTTTATTTTAAGGGATAAAGCAATGATTTATATCTTAAATTAAAGTTGAAAAGCTCTATTTTATGATAGGATTAAAACATCTATGGTTTGATGAGAAAATTGTCTGAGAAAAAATCGTGAATAAAAAATTACAAGCTTAGGTTATGTTGGAATGTGTCAAAAAAGAGGAAATTTCAAAAAATCACCCTGACTTCCCCTTTGGGATTTAAGGGATCGTTTATGTCTTAAATTGAAGCCTAAAGATTCTATTTTATGATAATCCATAAGATATATGGGGTTTGATGATAAAAATTTCTAGAAAAAAATTGAAATAAAAAATTGACAAATTAGGTTATTTTTGAGGGTGTTAAAAGCAGCTAAACCTTTAAAGTCATATCAATTTTATTTTAAGGGATAAAGCAATGATTTATATCTTAAATTAAAGCTGAAAAGCTCTATTTTATGATAGGATTAAAACATTTATGGTTTCATGAGAAAATTGTCTGAGAAAAAATCGTGAATAAAAAATTGCAAACTTAGGTTATGTTGGAATGTGTCAAAAAAGAGGAAATTTCAAAAAATCACCCTGACTTCCCCTTTGGGATTTAAGGGATCGTTTATGTCTTAAATTGAAGCTTAAAGATTCTATTTTATGATAATCCATAAGATATATGGGGTTTGATGATAAAAATTTCTAGAAAAAAATTGAAATAAAAAATTGACAAATTAGGTTATTTTTGAGAGTGTTAAAAGCAGCTAAAACTTTAAAAAATCATATCAACTTTATTTTAAGGGATAAAGCAATGATTTATATCTTAAATTAAAGCTGAAAAGCTCTATTTTATGATAGGATTAAAACATTTATGGTTTGATGAGAAAATTGTCTGAGAAAAAATCGTGAATAAAAAATTGCAAACTTAGGTTATGTTGGAATGTGTCAAAAAAGAGGAAATTTCAAAAAATCACCCTGACTTTCCCTTTGGGATTTAAGGGATCGTTTATGTCTTAAATTGAAGCTTAAAGATTCTATTTTATGATAATCCATAACATATATGGGGTTTGATGATAAAAATTTCTAGAAAAAAATTGAAATAAAAAATTGACAAATTAGGTTATTTTTGAGGATGTTAAAAGTAGCTAAAACTTTAAAAAATCATATCAACTTTATTTTAAGGGGTAAAGTAATGATTTATATCTTAAATTAAAGGTGAAAAGCTCTATTTTATGATAGGATTAAAACATCTATGGTTTGATGAGAAAATTTTCTGAGAAAAAACCGTGAATAAAAAATTGCAAACTTAGGTTATGTTGGAATGTGTCAAAAAAGAGGAAATTTCAAAAAATCACCCTGACTTCCCCTTTGGGATTTAAGGGATCGTTTATGTCTTAAATTGAAACTTAAAGATTCTTTTTTATGATAATCCATAAGATATATGGGGTTTGATGATAAAAATTTCTAGAAAAAAATTGAAATAAAAAATTGACAAATTAGGTTATTTTTGAGGATGTTAAAAGCAGCTAAAACTTTAAAGAATCATATCAACTTTATTTTAAGGGATAAAGCAATGATTTATATCTTAAATTAGAGCTGAAAAGCTCTATTTTATGATAGGATTAAAACATCTATGGTTTGATGAAGAAATTTTCTGAGAAAAAACCGTGAATAAAAAATTGCAAACTTAGGTTATGTTGGAATGTGTCAAAAAAGAGGAAATTTTAAAAAATTACCCTGACTTCCCCTTTGGGATTTAAAGGATCGTTTATGTCTTAAATTGAAGCCTAAAGATTCTATTTTATGATAATCCATAAGATATATGGGGTTTGATGATAAAAATTTCTAGAAAAAAATTGAAATAAAAAATTGACAAATTAGGTTATTTTTGAGGGTGTTAAAAGCAGCTAAAACTTTAAAAAATCATATCAACTTTATTTTATGGAGTAAAGTAATGATTTATATCTTAAATTAAAGCTGAAAAGCTCTATTTTATGATAGGATTAAAACATTTATGGTTTGATGAGAAAATTGTCTGAGAAAAAATCGTGAGTAAGAAATTGCAAACTTAGGTTATGTTGGAATGTGTCAAAAAAGAGGAAATTTCAAAAAATCACCCTGACTTCCCCTTTGGGATTTAAGGGATCGTTTATGTCTTAAATTGAAGCTTAAAGATTCTATTTTATGATAATCCATAAAATATATGGGGTTTGATGATAAAAATTTCTAGAAAAAAGTTGAAATAAAAAATTAACGCAGCTAAAACTTTAAAAAATCATATCAACTTTATTTTAAGGGATAAAGCAATGATTTATATCTTAAATTAAAGTTGAAATGCTCTATTTTATGATAGGATTAAAACATCTATAGTTTGATGAGGAAATTGTCTAAGAAAACAACACATGTTTGCAATAAATTAAATTTTGTATGTTAGAAAATGGGAAAATAGGTATCATCGTTTTTTTAGGAGGGTCGTCGTCAGTGGAGATTTTGAAAATTCAATAAGTCTCGATTCTTAATCGACGTGGACCCTCTCCCATCGGATAGAATTACAAACGTTTCGCTAAAAGCCCAGTTCAGACGGTTTCACAAAGGGAATCCGGCGCGGTACGGCATTCAAATTCCGTATTCTTTCTTTGCAACGTTGGTCCTTTTCCATCTTGAACCCCGTTTCGTCGGTCGCAACCGTTTCTTTTTCTCCCTCGCAAACCCGGTGTGGTTTAAATATTCAACATCGAGACGTAAAGATCTTAATACAGCAAAACGAATTTTGCCCACTGCTTTTCTCGGACGGAGCGGAAAGAAGAATACTGAAGGAGTTTTCGGAGAGAAAACGAGAAACGAAATATGACAGTGATATTTTCATTACACTAATTTGGACGTAAGCGAATTAGAGTTGCTTAAGAACTTCTTTTCCCGAGGCCCAATTTTTATTCTAAGGGAGAATTTTCTCTTTATTTTGCATCTTAATTTGAAATTATCCCGGCAACTTTCTGGGCTGCATTACAAATTAAACACCTTATCCCGAGCACCGTTTTAAATTAATATTTCGCCGCAGCTTTTCTTTTATGAATTTTTTCTTCCTCATCGTTGTTTCCATTTTTTTACACTTCTTCTCCTTTGAAACATTTTTCGCCTTCACTTTAACTCTCATTTCTATACCCTCATATTAATTATCTTTCTATTCTTAATAATACTTTTACATTTTATGATTAAAACTTTTAAAATGAATAGAAAAAATCCAAAAAGCTAGATAAAAATAGCATGATTGATGCAGAAATTNAAATCGATTTTCTCGGATATTTTCCAGCATGGGATCGAACTGCTTCAGGAAAATGATGTCCGAGTACTGATCTTCAATCCCTATAAATATGAACAAAATGGGTGATGACGAACCCGTAAGGTCCCCTTGTTAGTGTTGTCAGAGTGTTGCGTGTTTCTTTGTTCTTCTGTCTTTTTATGATTTTATCAATAATATCTGGTTTGTAACCATTGTTCTTACATATTTGTTTTATAATTGTTGTTTCTTTTTTCATTTCATAAATTAATTGCTAATTAATTGCTAATTGTGACCACAAAGATAACAAAATGTATTCAGCCAACCTAACCTTACCACAATATTTGAAACTATTTAAATTTTAAAGAATACACGGCTATATTCACAGGGTTGAACATAACCTAAAAATAAAGATAAAGCAACCATTACTAATAATAACATTCAACGTGAGCTAAAAATAAGGAAAAACATAAAAATAGAGAAAATTTTAACAACATTTAAGAACGAATAATTCAAGAAAGTACTGATGAAAGAAGCGATGATTCCAGATTTCGAAAATTAAAAGTATAACAGACGTAAGTTGATTTTTGAAGTAACCTAAAAACATGTGTTTTTTGAAGAACAAAATTTATTATATATTTTTAATTTAGTTTTTAATGTAATTTTTAAATTGTGTAACAGGTGGCTATTGCTCCTGAAGATGACTAGAAAGAATTAGTCGAAACCGGTAGAGCCGAAAATAAAAGATACCCTTCTGAAAAGCAAAGTTTTTTATTTACATAATCTTTTTGTTAATGTTTTAAGTTAAACTTTTTATTTTTGTTAAATTGTTAATACGTTTTGTTTAGATTGCTTTTTTAAG